TGGCATATCAGATGCCTCCAGACATTTTCACTGCGTCGCGCTTTTCATTACTTCTCAAAGAACGCATGTACAATACGCTGCAGCACTAAACGCAATTTCATCTCAATTGTGCGAGGTGGTTGGACGCAGCGTTAATGTAACGTATTTTATGGGGGATGCTGAGGAGGCTCAATTGAACGGCTTCGAAGTGAGCATTGGTATGTCGACCGACAGTGACTACCTCATGTGCTTTTTCCACGTGGTTTCCAATGTAAAGAAGCGTCTGAGTGGAATTTCTGAACAATCCAAACAAATAATTTTTCAAGATATATATGACCTTCACTACTCTCGGGTTGTCGACACCGGTAAAAGAAGCTGTAACTGCAGTGCATACTTCAAGTACGCGTGTTGCGTTCATGTGCTGGCGGCTTTGAGATCACGAAACGTAACGATTCCTGGGTGCAAAGGTTCGGAACGAGTTTTCATAAGTAGGCGATTTAACCGCAAGCGGGATACAGGTGAAGGTCGAGATCACAACGGCTCAGCAGGAAATGACCAAACTGATCGAAGAAGCGACACTAACAGATGGGTACGAGGGCGAGGTAGTGGCCGAGGACGTGGAAGCAGTCGAGGGCGACGCGGAAGACGATTTGAGCTAGACCTAGAAACGAATGATAACGAAGCCCCCGTCGGCAGACCGCGTCGGGTTCAGGATGCGTTGTCGTTTGACTAGAAATTTCATTACGGGTGATATGTACAAGTTGTGCTACTGTCACTTCTTTTAAGCAATAAAAATGGTTTTTTACACTAGTGTTTTTATTAATCTAAACAAACAATTGTACATACTTTTTATCGCGTACCGGGCGACACGTAGAACAGGTCGGGGTTGATGTACCTTTTTAATTAACTTCAGGGGAACACTTAAAAAGTTGTACTATAAAGTGGCAACTGACATACTACATTAGTTGTACTGCATTTTAAACCAAAATCACGTAGACAGGTACTTTCCTATTGATATGTGGAATGGCATAGCCCTCATTTTTTAGGACGATGAAAAGTTTTCGTATAGGGGGAACACAAAAAGAATGGATGTGAGAAACTTCAACATGCCAAATCTTCTTGTAGGTTTTACATCACACTACACTTATGGATGAATGAAATACGTTGAAAGATTCCGCATGGAATGTGGTCTCGAAAAATATCACAACCGCTTCT